ATCTACCAACATATGCATAACCATAGAAAAATAGCCCTTTCTGTTGGCAAAATGGGCTCATACCAAAATAGTGATGTGTGCCATTTATCATCCCACCACACTTTGGGAACCCCATTGCTTCAAATCCATCCACTATGTCCTACTACACATTACCAAAAATCACAGTCCTGCATAGCAGGAGATGATTAACAGCCCTACATGCATGCATGGCAACAGCCCCAACTGTACATTTTCCAACTCCACATCTAGACCTGCTCACAGTAGGGAGGATCCTCCATGGCCTCCAGAACCTCAGGAGACTACAAAGGGATACCTTCTCCAAGATATAAGCCTAAATTTGTCAATGATCGAAAAATTATTGCATCTTACATATTTTCTTTACATTGTTTAGTTATTTGGGGTTGGATGCATTAACCACAAATTCATACTATCTGCTGTCAATTTTATTAAAATCAATGATAATTCATGGAGAAATTTTACTTGCCAATGAATTTGTCCAGAAAAAGTAACACACTTCTTTTCCCACTAAAAATACCATATTTGCTTGATTTTCACTCTTGGATCTCAGCTGCCTCTGAGAAATGCTATAAATCTCCCTAGCTCTCAAAGTTTTTTGTCCCATTGAGGCACTTGCAAACAAGTTTCATTCTGAGAGCAACTACCAGTGCCTCAGTGCCATGTAGTACATTCTATTTAATCTCCTTTATGGGCTATAAGAGGTCAGACTGGAAAATAAAAAAAATGTGGTGGTACTCTCTGAAGCTTTGCCAAGCACAGAGTGTCTAAGTGTTTCAGGACTACCCTTTGCTCAGACGTGCTGGTGTACTGGGTCTCTTGCTTATCTCTTCTTTTCCTGGGCAGCTTTGAAACTGCTCCTCCTGAACACCTGAAGAGAGGTTACTTACTTTAGAGTAATTGGAGCTCTTTGAGAAACCTTTGTCCAGACAGATCCCTCTATACATATTTGTGTTTTATTCATGGGAGCCTGGAATATTTCATACAGCAGAGTCCATTGGGGCTGTACATGTACCCTGCATACTCTTGCATCACCAACAGTGAGGGTATAAAATGCAGAAAGGCCTTGCCACCATTCAACTCTTCACCAATATAGAAATTTGGGTGAGGATTCTATATCAATGGGGAAGAAGAGTGGGTCTGGGATTCTAAATGGCAAAAGGCATCTTGAAGAACTCCAGTTATTGTAAATAAGTAACCACTTTCTTGTCCATAAAGATCCCACTGTAGGTGAGTGGATAGTACTTGCCCCTCAAGGGATTAATAGGAATCCCTATTTAAATAATGACTGTAAAACAGCCCTATCAAACAAAGCATCTGACCTAGAAGCTGTGACAATGGAGGACTGATTGGTGAATGTATGACTCAAACTCCAAGTAGTTGCTCTACAAATTCCAGGGATAAGGATACATCTTAAAAAAGCCACTGCTGCTATTTGGACACTAGTGGAATGTATCTTAACTTAAGAAGGAACCGGCAATTTATTCAACCAGTAGGAGATTTTAATGCAGTCTGTAACCCATTTAGAAAGCTTTTGAGATGAAAGGGCTTGCCCTTTAGACGTTACTGTCAAAAGCCATAAAAAGGCTAGAGGAAAGCCATTGTCCTAGAAATATAAAAGGACATAATTGAACAGACATCTGGTGCGTGGAGCTTGGCCTCTGCTGGGGAGGCATGAGGTTTAGGAAAAAATACCAGTAGATATATAAACTGGCTTATATGAATCTATTTTAGTAGGAATTTCAGATGTGGTCTGAGAGTTACTCTCTCCCAATAAAATATTGAATAAGACAGTGAAGCCATTAAAGTTTGAATTTCACCCATCCTACAAACTGAGGTAATGACAACTAAAACACTAGTTTTAATAGAAAAGTGATACTGAAAACACAATGACATGGGCTCAACGGGAGGGTCCATCAAACATGTAAGTACCATGTTTAAGTCTCAGGTAGGGAAGGGCTCATTAATTATCAGAAACACATGAATTAGGATTTTTAAAACCCAAGAAATAGTAGGGTAAGAAAAGAAATTCAATGACCATCAGCAGGTGGGTGAGACACCAATATAGCAGCCAGATGTACTCTAATAGTGCTAATTGAAAGTCCCACATGTTTGAATGCTAATAAGCAGTGGTGTGCACAAGAGGGTGGCAAGCAGGGGCAGAGGACCCCTAAATATTCATCTAAAATATGTATTTTGGCTCCATACCCCGACCAAGGCCTGGCTGCTGCTCCAGCCCGATATGTTGCTGGTGTAGATATGTGGGCAGAGTTGGCATCGAGGTTTGTTGCATGGGTTGGTTCCTGAGTTAGAGTTGTTATGGTGTGGTTCGTGGTTGTGTCCTCACCCACAGACAACCCGCCAACCTTAAGCATATTCTCACCAGCAACCACGCACCGCACCATAACAACTCTAACTCAGGAACCAACCCATGCAACAAACCTC